TTTTTCATAATGTTTTTTATTCGTTTCATCGTCTTCTTCACCAGTATCTCTTTCTGCTGTAGTAATTTCCATATTTTCTGTATGAGTTTTTCGTCGATTTTTTGTATACATATGTGAATGATTGTTGATAATAATCAATGTTGGTAGTTTTCATGAGATTAAATTGTTCTGGTCAATACTTTACGATTCTTCCTCTTCTTCTTCACTATATTCGTGCACCAACCACCTATTAACAAAATTTGACATCTTAATTTCTTTTGTAAAGCAATTCTTTTTTTTTTTTTTTGTAACTGGCACGTCAATGAAGGTATACAACAATGAAAATAAAACCAACTATACTGAGTGTCACTTTTCGTTCATTTAAAAGAAGGAAAAAAAAAAATGTATGTACACAGAGATACGAAAGATGTTGCTCAATCAACGTATAATATGAACATACATATAAAAAGGAAAGAGAGAGGAAGCAAGAAGAATTTGTATAAAGGATCAATCAAAACGAATAAAAAAAAAAAACAGAAGGTGTGAAAGTTTGTGCCATGTTAATGCTACCTTATTTGTATAAGAGAAGTTGTCTTTTTTCTTTTTGCTCCATTCATTAAAACTATAACCTTGTTCATCTCAATTTACGAAACTATGTTCATCATTATTTTGTCTTTTTCTTGAAATATTTTGGTTACAAAAAAAAAAATTTCAAATTGATCGCTTACTTTGACATATTGACAACAATAATTACTTGAAAATTGTGAATGTTTTCTTTACAATACCGGCACTCGTTGATGGCATGAAACAACTATACTCATATGTAATATGTCTTGTAGACAAACAAATAACAAAAATAAACGAAAAGACAAACTGAAAATGTAATGAAAAAAAAAAAGAAAAGAATGACTACAACACAGTCGAAAATTTCATCTTTTTTTCATTTTTCAGGGTTAAATCATCCTTAACAAGAAATGATGTGTGAATAAATCACATGCTTTTATGGTATATGAATTTCAAAATACTTGAATATAATGTTAGATTGGAAGTTTTGACGTTTTTCAAAAAAAAATAGTAGATGTTAGTCGATAGCACTATAAAAGAGTGTTTATTGTGATTGGGTCTATACAAATGAAAACTGAAATACTATTTTCATAAACAAGAGCTGATAAATTATAACTGTAATATGCTTTTCTAGTTTAGTTGTGATATTCAAAAACAGTAAAGTTGTTTCATTTTTGTTGAAATGATTCACTTATATTGCCTAATTTATTTATTAAAAAAAGAGTAACAATCATTTTTTTTTTTGTTGTATTAATTTGAAGTAAACGGATTGAAAAGCAGATTCTAACTTCTCGAGAGGAAACAATGTTGCTTGAATTAAATGGCGAAGCTTTCTAAAATTAGTTTTATAGTTAGAGTTTTACATTATGTCAAGAGTTTTCAAATTATACTTTTAATTTTAGTTTTAGATTAAATTTTAGAAATGAAAATTGCCGATAATAAATGTTTTAGACTACTTATCGTTTTGTTTAAAACGACCTTAAAATCATTGGCTATTTATTAATGAAAATTCCATTTAAAGACATTTAATTGAATAATTGAGAAATATAGCTTTAGAAATAGAACAAGTTTGTTTGATAGGTTTTACAACTGTAAAAGATTTTACACAAAACTAACAGATACCTTTCACACAAGATGTATAACAACATTTTAAATTCTGGCTTTTGCTATAAATGAATGAAAATTGTTCGGTATAACACAAAGTTGCATTCTTTTCAAGTTCATAGACTAGGTTAGTAACACAAAAATCAGTAGGATATCGTTCTCCGTTTAAGAAAAAATTGAATCTTACTGAAAGAGTACTGAGTGATATTTTCCGAAGCATTCGTGAGCTAGAACTGACCGATATGTACTAAATCTCTCCTAGAATAGAAGACCACCTACAAGAAAAATTTCATAAGGCATAATAGAAGACCATGGGTTTGCCAAAGTCTTTTTTTTTAGAAAGTCCAATGAATTTGAAAAGTTTTAATATCTAAATCTCTGATTTTTTGGCACCGAGTTGCTAATAACGCTTACTTGAATATGAGAAAAGTTTTTCAAAAAATTTTGATTTTCTAGATAAACGGTAGTCAATACTAGCTCGCAATAGAAGTTCTCGACTTTTTATTTTGAGAGGAAGGATTATTACCATACAAGAATCGTTCGTATATTGGGAGTGGCTCCATGCTATTAATACTTTATACATCTATTTAGCTTATTTCTCGGTTAAGACTAAATCGATCAAAGATAGATCATGATTAATAGCCAGAAAGTTTAGCCGACGTCGAAACCCACCGAAATTTCTTTTTCGATAAAAAGAATGTAGGTTCTCTTTTTTACTTTGACAGGGAAGTGTATGGGTCCAAATCTTTTTAGAGTTTTTTCAGTCGCATTGTGTTTTGCATATAAACAATATATGGCATCAAGCACCATTCGATAGTTGGATAGACTTTCTCCTAAGTTCATTGGAACATTTACTATACTGACATTGACACAAAGATTCTATAAAAACTTTCAGACATTGATGCTTTTACCTATAACTATGAATCAAAAGTATGGAAATGATCATATCTATCCTTTCGAGAAATATCAGCAATTTGAGCCATCTGTAAGTTTTAATAATAAGACTAACTTCATCGAAATGCATTCCCTCAATTTCTAATTTTTATTTTGATTTATAAATGTTTCAATGAACGCTAGTACAAGTATCAGCAGTGTGACAATGAACATCAGTTTTAATGTCGGCAATGAACAGTATACTGATACTACGACATTCATATTTAAATACCATTCGTAAGTAGATAGCGAAGAAATAACAAAGATCATTTATTTATACTGACACACAACAAATCATCTCGTATTTAACTACACAAGATTTAATGCATATGCATGTTGTAGTTCTTGTCGTAACAATGAATGATAGGGTTTGTTAGGTGATGCATAAATGTGACTGAACATTGTTCAAGTGACTCTTTAGAAAAGAGTGGCTTGTTAATACTTGTTGCTGTCAGTCATTATATTCTATTCTTCATAGAATAAACTATATAAAATGGTAAAGTGAGCTTTCACTTTTGTAAAATGTAAATAATCTTCTACAATACTGTTATAGATTCTATGCTTTCTGAAGTACTATAGTAAATCAAAGTTAGTGAAATATATTTCACATGCAACTAAAATGCTATACCAATATCTTGATAATCTCAAGATATATGAGCCTCCGTTAAATGATAATTTTCAAAATTTTTTCTTCTTAGATCAAGTCCAATGACCAAATGAAGGTTATCACAGATCATGCTTCTTAGAGCACAGTTCAAAGCATAGGAACGTAAGCCAAAATCGCATAGGGTACAAGTTGGTAACACACGTGAACATCAATTCTTACTCTTCATTTAAATGAGACAGCGTCACTTACTGTCGAGTCCAAACAAATCAGTGACTTTTTAGCTCGCATCCTAAAGATGATATTGAAAACTATACAACGCAATAGAGATGAGAGTGAGGATGACGTGTCAAGTTAAAAATAGGACATGCATCCTCACACCATTTCTATTTTCAACCTCACAAATTATTTCTATATGTCCAAGATCCTTTTCAAGTTCTAAGAAAGTATCTATAAACCTTTGTATTTGTTATTGTAATTTACGTTAATACGCTTTGAGACTTATCTGTCAATTTTAAATAACAGTCTATATTTACTATCTATCTGAGCAGTTGTAATCAGAGCATTGTTGTTTTGTTTTTACAATATTCGAACTTTTCCAACTATCTCATTTTTGGAAACTTTATGCAATACTCAAGTGAGAAGCAGTGTTAATTCTCCACAATATTCTGCCAAAATAGACTTGATTCGATCATAAATGTTACTCGTTGAAGGTTTGTTTGTTTCGAAAAAGATTAACTCAATGAAAAAAATATAGTCTTTCTTAAAGCATGCCTGTTTGTTGAATCAAAATAATAGCGTATTAAAAATCGTCACATTCAATATGCTCGATCGAATCTTTCGAGTGCCGTCTAAAAACAACTATGTTTTAAAAAAACTAACATGGATATCCGCAGCGGTAGACTAGGACGATGACTTCTCAATTGTAGAGACCTCGAGACACTCTAGAAAACTAAACATTTGTTTACACAAAAACAATGTATCACTAAAAATGATACGAGAAGTAGATCTTCATGCTAGCAATTCGTTATCAAAACCGATGGTTTCAACGTTTCATTCCTTGTTTATCAAGTTTATTATAATATTCCTATTAAATTAGTATTGTCAGTCTTGAAGAGATCGATTTCAACTCAAAAAAGTCTATTGTAATATGTTACTAGATATTATAATAATGAAACTCAAAAATTAAGCGACAATAGCCGATTGTGTGACACAGGCGGCTGAAGAGCACGCTCATAGTAGTTAGAGACGCCATTTGGACTGAAATATAACATTTTTCTACGCATTTAAAAATATTCGTGTACTGAGATACAAGCAAAAAGTAAACCACAGAATCATGGTTAACTCTGATTAACTGGCGATATCCAAGCATTTTGGACGACATGGATGGCATGCATTGAAACATGATATAAGGCAGCTTAGAAAGTTTTCTCTATTTCATTATTTTAAATTAAGTTTAGTATGAATTTATCAAAAATTAAATTTTATTATTTGTGACATGAAGATTAGAGTCATGTGCTATTTCTTTGCTTGAATATTTGCAGAAGTTTTGTCACATCCTTGTATATCCTTAGACAAGAGTTAATTTAAAATTATTTTTACTTTTTTGGAAATTTTATTCGTACGATATCATAAACGAAGTTGCACTTTCACTATTACAATAAATTTTTAAAAGTCCATCAAATAATAACGATTAAAAAACATCATCACCAATGATTACCATAGAATAACAAATCAAATAGAATAAAAAACACTAAAAGAATCAGTTTTCACTGAGATAAATCAAAAAGAAATATTTCTTTCATAAAGTTCCTGTTTATAATCGTACGGCATAAATTCCACATCCTGGTAATGTTGGAAAAATACTTTGATCAGCATTATTAACACGCTTTGTATCTTTACTATTAATATAAAATTTCTCGCGTACATTTGCAATAAATTCATGAAGATTTTCTTGTCGTACAAGTGAAACAGCACAACCACCCCATCCAGCGCCTGTCAGACGTGATCCTAAAGCACCACTTTGTCTAAAAATAAATTTCATTGTATCTCTCATTAAAAAACAATAAATAAAATATACACACCGACATATATCTGTTAATTGATCAAGTTCATTACTACTGCATTCATATAATCTTGCACAACTATTATGACTTTGATTCATTAGTTCTCCAAGTGTTTCAAGACGATCATGTGTATTTGAATCACATACTTGTTTAAAAAGTAAAACACGATTAGCTTCACTAAGAACATGTTTTATACGTTTACATAATTCAAATTTTTGTTCTAAATTATTTTAAAATTCAAAATTTTATTTTCAAAAAAAAAATTTAATCTTACCTCGATTTATATTGGCTTTTAAACTAATACTAATTAATTCATCAACAGTTACATTTAATAAACCAGCTATTTTATCAAGTGTATAAGGTACTTCATGAAGTGTATCTATTGCAAATTGTTCCAATTCATTTATTGTAAAACCAAGAGCATTTTGTAATTCATATGGTTTACGAATTGAACGCCAATCAAGACCTTTTGCATGGGCTAATATCTTTTAAACAAACAAAAACATCCAAATTAAAAACCAATTATACAATAATTTTCATCAATACTTGAGTCGCTAATCGACATTCAGATACACGTGTATTAAAATGATCTGATGCTGCTTTATTAACTTCAGTTAATGAATGTGTTACAACAAAAGCACAACCAACTGGTAAAGTTACATCTTGAATTTTCAATGGATTAAAACTAATTAACATTGCCTTTATGATAAGAATAATAGATAATTAAATAGAAACAAACTAAAACATACTGAACCACTATGTGCAAGACAAGATGCTGCTTGATCCATTCCACCTTTAAAAGAAAAAATTATCAACACAATTCAAATACATAAATTCTAATTGAACTTACCTCCTTGTGTACCAATATATTTTTCACATTCAGCACAGAGTTCTGCTAGATCACTCTAGAAAAAAAAATAAAATAACATTAGAAGTAAACGAACAAAAAGATTTGAAATATAAACCTTGCTAATATTAATTCCATTAGCAACAATTGTTGTCAAAGCAGCACAAACAACAAGTGCTGACGAGGATGAAAGACCAGCACTACGTGGAATCGTTCCATCAATCAATACTTTCATACCTATGGAAAAAATTTATCGAAATTTGATTTTTGGAAAAAAAATAATCAAGACTTACAGTGAGTGTCAAAATTAGTCAACAAGGTTTATTTTCATTTTTTTTTTGTCGCTGTCGTAATAGCTAGAAAGTTTCCGAATAGTAGTAATTCGAGTAGACAAAACTGTTTCCAAAACAAATATAAGGAAACAAAAAATTATTATCAGTTTTTCAAAGATCAGAGCTCTAGAAAACTAAAACCTTAGCTTTTCAGCAGCTAGAATACGTAAATGTAATTTTATTTAGACTGTATAGAACGATAGAGCCAATCATTCTATACAAAATCAAACGTCTTTGAATTCTCTGTACCATTTTTTGTCTAACAGACGGTAATTTAAGTGAAGGTCAAACAAAAAAAGTGTTTCTATAGGAAATTGAAAAAAAAAACGACTTTAGGAGCTTCTGTAAAATTGCTGTATTTGAACTAAACGATGTTACGGAATATTCGAAGACGTCTCATTTTGTAGAGTCTAGTTTGTTCTATCGTTATATGTACTCTAAGAAAAATAATATTTAAACATTTTAGGTACTAACAACAACTAGAGTTTGAATTTTCTGGAGTCTTTATCTTTACGAATCTCATAATAGCTTTTATTTTCTTATGTTCTTGTTCTAAACGATCATTAATAGGATTCTTTCCAATACTTGCGACAACGAAAAAAAAATTGAAAATAAATCTTGTTGAACACTTTTGGTACTGACTGTATGTCTTTATGATAAAAAATAATTCTTCATCACGATCTTTTTTAATACCTTTTAATTTAATATCAGGAAATTTATCACGAATGCCTTGAATACCACATTTAAAATATTCGTACCAATCAGATTTTTCATATGAAATAGAAAAATTTTCCATGTTAAATGAACTAGCTCTAAAAAATACGATAAAAAGTTTTATGTTGAAAGAATTTATTTGACGTATCTTACTTAAATGATTCGTCGGTATTATTGATTTGTACTTCATTATTATCACATGTAGCAAAGACGGATACGATATCTTGATCAATAGCCATTGGCAATACGGAATAACCACAATAATCAATATGTTCACCTTAAAGAAAAAAAATTATCTCATTAAAAACTTCACTATAAGATTTTTTTCATATTACCAATAAGATTAACTCGACCTGGCGCACGACAAAGAAACTGTGGTTGAATTCCATTATAATTTATTTTAAATTTTTTAACTAATTTTTTAAATCTTTCTTCACTTAAGTAAACAAAAAAAAAAAAACAAAATACACAAAACATAAACTCCCCTCAAAATCAAAGTAAAAACATACTTTGGATTTTGTGGAATTCCATCAGTTATTGAAATCGTATCCATTTTAATTCTTCTGTTTTTCGTTTCTCTGTCGTTAATTTTAAATCTAAAATTTGTCTTATATCATCTTTATCTATGTTTTCTTTTATATATATATACAAACACGCATAATTGCGTTCTTTTTCTCTTAGATTTCTTTCATACAAACAATAATAATTCGTCGCATGAAAGACATACTACACACACACAAGAAAAAAGTAGTTACACATATTAAAGGGTTCAATCATACCGAGAGAAAAAAAGTAACAACAAAAAACACAATGACTTTCCATGTCAAAATAGATATAATATTTATATATATATATATATACATACAGAAAAAAGAACAGCGAGAATATTCATATATTTAATTTGTTTTTTCTTAAGTTATTCGTGTTTGATATCAAACAAAGAGAAACTGTTCAATGAATATAGAAAAAGAAAAACAAAAAGAAAAGAAATTTCCGGAATGAAATTCACTCGCTCTATCTCTGTGTCATCATCATCATCATTAATCATCAGTAGAATTTTTTTTTTTTTTTTATCAGACATTCAAATAAACATACATTTTCTTTTCTTCATATGTCTTTTTTTTTCCACATAAACAAAACACAAAAAAAAAAAAACATCCACCGGTACACAGAAGAAGAAAAGCTTATTGCATCAACAAAGCCATATTTCAAATTACATCCCAATGAGATTTTATAGAAAAAAACAAACAAACAAACAATATTTATAAGAATATGAATATATGCTATCGTTCCTTAGTTCGTTTTGTTGTTGAAGTTTTTGATACAGAACATATATCTCGTAAAGTATTTCCATGATCAAGTAAATTAACAAGTAAATTGGATATTTGTGTTAATTGTTCGTAAAAACAACGATGTCGTTGAATATTAGCCTAAAAAAAGAACATATTTATTAAATTCATTTATCATCAATTCATTGTAATTAACTTGTCACCATCATTTGTTCAGCACAAACAAAAAAAAATGATTCCATATTATCGAAAATGAATATATGAAATAATACTTGAAAAAAATCTTAGAATGACAAGATAATTTTTCAAGAACTGCACATTAGCATGTTCAAGCATAACTAGGAGTGTATAAGAAACACAATTGAACGAATTTTTCTTTTGAATTTAAAAAAAAAAAACATTTTTATTTTGCTTAAAATCATCATCAATATGATGATATACGTTTCCTATACTTAGAGAAATTTTTCAGTTGAATTCAACGATTACAGTATCAGTTTAAAAACTGCTGATGCAGTGTAGTATATCAGTATTCATTGAAGTACAGGAATATATTGCTACAAAAACACAATATATTGATATTTCGATGTTATGGCGAACGTGAATGTCAATGCTTTAGTAAACACTGTGTCGATACGACGTTGTTCAGTATTTACTGAAATACGTCGCATTAGTTCGTGTTTGGAATCTTTCTCTTAATCAGATTCTAACCCGAAAATTTCGGATATTGACAGAATCTAGTATTTATACCAACACTGCATATCTCTAGATGAACTTCAACAAAAAAAGAAAATCCGTTGTATTTCATAATCTTATTCGAACTTCTTGATTTTTCTACGAGGAAGAATTATGAAAATTGTTTCTCATAAGAATGATTTCAACATATGAACAATATGCTTTCTAAATAAAAATGTGTATTTCTTCAATCCTTAATAAAACATCAATAGAAATCTGTAATATCAAGGTTTTTTTGTTCAATTCTTATTCTCGTATATGAAAAATTTCTCATCTATTTGATTTACTTAGTCAATAATTAGTACTATTTTCGATTACTCTCTTCAATTGTATTCTAATTTAAAAGATAATTTGCTTAAAATCATAGAATATTTGATTATAAACTTCAATTCTAGTTCGAGAAATTTTTTTTCTCATTATCTCCCATACCTCATATCTGTTCGATATCAGACTTGGAACCGGTCTGATTTTTTCAGATCGGACCGGCCGGTCCAAACTCTGGCCTGGACCAGTGAAAAACCGGTCGGTTCAAGTTTATGACTTTACCGGCGAAAAAACGGTTGGTCCAAATTCTTGATTTACCTGACGAAAAAAAGCAGTGCACTCATGTATTAGCTAAACAACCGATGTTTTCACGAAACAGTTTGTTAATTTAGCTCTACTAAGCCATATAATTCTTGAAACTTCTAATAGCAGCGACTTCTTTTTTAGTCTGTCATGTTTAGTATGCTAATATTCAGAATCAATGAAGATATCTTTCAAAAAGTTTTGACTAGGACTCACAGCAACTAGGATTGAACACCAGCTAACTATTCTTTGAATCTTTTCAAATAATGATATGATTTATTTACCATTGATAGATTTAGTCTATTCTTATTTGAAATACTGAGTTTCTTATCACAGCTGAAATATATTCCACTTCACAGAAGAATGCTACTGTAGAGAGAAAGATAATGTGAGCTAATCGGTAAGATTTATACATTAGACTTCCTATTTGAGGTTTATTGATACCTAAATATTAACGCGGTTGCATGATGCTACTAGTTAGAAAGACCGTGATAGCAGAAAAGATTTTATTCAAAACATTTTGCTATGAAATCATGAACTTGAATACTGGTGGCTATTGAGCTTCTATGAAAATCAGCTAAGATTACTGCATACGAATGATCCAAAATTTCAAGAAAAATGTTGAATTTAAATCGACAGTAGCTTGTAAAATCGAGCTAACTTGTCATGAGTATAATGAATTCATTCGTCATAATATGAGCCTCTGATGAAAGGATAAGAAAGTGTTGGTGAATATTTAGAGCTACGATTTCCAATACGATTGAAATTTTGCCAGTGAGAAATTTTCCGGATTAAATCTCTTGACCCCATGAAAATTCTTAAAAATGAGCAAAATAAGCAAGTTTTAGTTGCCAAAAATTTTAAAATAACCGGTGAAGACCGGACCGGATCAGTAACCGGCAGACCGGCCGGTCCGGTTCCAAGTATGTTCGATACTCTCTATTAATTCAAAGTAATAAATAACTTTTCGATTAAATATTTAATTTCATTTTAATTCTCTTACTTGCATTAAATCTTCAACTGTTGTTCGTATTGATTCATCTCCAATATTTAATAATTGAAGCATATCTGACAATTGATGTTGCGTCATTTGCTCATCTTCTGTCTAAAAACAAAGCATCAAAAAAGTTTATTTTAAAAATAAAATTATTCTTAAAAATTTTTCTAACCAGATCCGATAGATATGTTGTCAATCGATCAATACGCCATGATGCCCATGGTTGTGTTATTTTTTTTTGTATAATATCAAGACTTTTTACAGGTACAGTTCGTTTTGCATCTAATTAAATAATACAAAAAAGAAAAGTTATAATTTTAAAATACAATAGAAAAAAAAAAAAAACAAATTGTTTTTCTATACTCGTTCGAATAATATCTGAATATTTTTCATAATGATTTATTTTTGGTTTCCATGAAAAACGTGATACAAGTGTATTTATTGATTTTGGTCGAGTTTTTGTACCAATCCAACGAATACCTGTTTGTTTATCAATATAAACAAAATCTAAAGAGAAACGAAAAAAAAAAAAAAAAAATTTCATTAAAAATTTTTTTGATATCATTTTTTACCTTGTGAAAGTCTTTTAAGAAGTTCATCATCAATTTGATCTATAATTATATCAGACGATGTTCCATTTAATCGATCAATAATTGATTCTTGTTTAATATTTTCATTCGATATTAATTCTTGATTTAATTTTGTAATTGTTCTTCGTTTACGTGATAATATTGTTGAATTAGATGTTTCAGTTGAATGACGTTTTTTTGTTAATCCACTTGTATCAAGACTAATTGTTGATATAATTGGAGTTGTTGGTGTTGTATTTTCAATAGAAAATTTTGATAATGGACGATTACGAGTATTAGAAAATTTTTTAATATTTGTTGATAAATCTAACTGTTCATAATGAGGTACTTTATTTGGTGGTTCTATTGAATTTATTTGTTCACTAAAAAGTAAGAAAAAGAAATAAAAGAGAGAAAAAAACAATTTAAATATTTACTCTTCATTTAATTTATGTTTTTTTGGTTGTCGTATAGTTGTGGTAGTTGTTGTTGATGATGATGGTGTTATTGGTATTGTTGTTAATGTTGATGAAGATTGTTGTATTGATGGTTGTAAAGGAAGACGTGTTCGATTTTTAGTTGAAATTTTATTATGATGAACTATAAAGAAAAAAATATAAATAATAAAAATTTTAATTCATATTTATTTAATTTACAATTTTTAATTGTTGTTGTTGTTGTTGAATCATTTAATTTTTCATCAGTTTGCATTTCACGAATAATTGGTGTTGTTATTGTTGTTGTTGTTGATTGATGATTATTATTATGATCCATTGAACGTTGTGTTGTTGATATAAGAACAGATGATGGTGATGATGAATAAATATGTGTTGTTGGAAGTGTAAATTGTACTGATTGTTGTGAAGAATTTATTGATTCAGAATTTGATGTTGATGGTAATAATTGCATATGTATATATGCTTGATGTCCGGATGTATCAAAATTTTTTGTTGAATATGAATGTTGATGTGGAACTTGAACATTTAATGGTGTTAAAGGATTTTCAATTGTTGTTGGTGATGATAAACCAAAATGCATACTAATTGGATATGTATTAGTATTATCATTTTTTTCATTTTTAATATGTGTTATATGATGATGATGATGAGGATGATGTTCGGAAGATGATATTGATGTTGGAATTAATTGTACTGGTCGTGAAAGCATTTTAGCTAAATAAAAAAAGAATATTTTTATTTAATAGAAATAATATGGGAAGCTTGAGTATGATAAATAACCTTAAAAGTATTCTAAATAATTCATTTATGTAATACTGAAATGAATATACTAATCATTTTTCGATTGTGACTATAGATAAATGATTGCTTATGATAAACAATAAAAAATTTTGATTTTTAAAGTTAGAACGAACATATGTTTGCTAAAATATATTTCCATTTTAAATAAATACATGATTTAGATTATATTATAAAGGAAGGATATGAACTGATAAATTTATTTTGACTCAAATGTTGATTATAAGGCTTATCTATAAAGAAAATTTTATTTCGAAATATGATTATTTAGAGTTTCAAATGAAACATTCATAACAATTGCAAATCTTAAAAAAGAAAAACAGTTGAAAACATTCTTGGAAAAATTACAGATAAATATTATCGAACAAGAAATTTTCATACATCAACAACTATGATTTATCAGACATTTTCTTCATAGATATTCATAAGAATTAATGAATATTTATACTTGAAACATTCCCATCCAATCAAAACAAATCTAAGTGAAGTCATCAATGTCTTAATATATGAATTACATAGAATGACTAATCAATAATGTCATTGAATGATATTTATACTCATAGAATAATAATTCAGCATTTTAATAATATAGACTACATGTTAAATTTTTATCTTAAAAAGGATAAAATATATTAACATGATGTTTTTGTGTTTGATCAAATAAATATTCATAATGAAGTTCAATTTCATCTCTGATTTAATACAATCATATTCTTTTTTTTTTAAACGAATTATCATAACAAATAGATAACTTAAAAAAAAAATGAATAAAATACCTGTCGGTAGAATAGATGATGGTGGTATTGAAACTAGAAAAATAAAATTTTTTTTTTCAATTACAAAAAAAAAATCTAATTAAGTTAACTATTTACAAATTTTAGTAGCTTGTGTTGATTGTTGTTGTTGTTGTTGTTGTTGCCAAAAATTAGTATTTGTTGTTGATGAATTTGTATTTTGTTGAATAACTAATTTAGGTGTAATATTATTTGTTTGTTTAATATTATTTGATGAATTTGTAATTGTTGTTGTTGCTGATGATGATGTTGCATTTGTTATTATTGGTTGTACAAGTGTAACACGATTTTTTGATAAAAAAACTGATTGATTTGTATTTGTTGATGATAATTTATCAGTTGTTGACATATCATTTGTAGATGATATTGTTACACTATTTAATGTTTGAATTTTTGGTGATGTTGTACCTGGTGGTATTAATGTTAATAATGATGATGATGATGATGTTGAATTTGACAGTATTTGTTGTTTATTTACTGTTGTTGTACTGCTCTGTTGAGGATTTAATATATAAGTTTTTGATGTTGAAAAACCTCCATTTGTTGTTGTTGATGATGATGATTTATCAGTTAATTGAAACTGTAAATTTGTTGGTGATGATGATGATGATGATTTACCTGTTGATGTAACAAGACGAATAGATGATGGTGTTGTTGTTGTTGTTGTCGTAGAATTTGATGATGATGTATGTCGAACATTATTATTTGAATTATCTAGATGTGAATCAGCTTCAAAAATAAAAATAAAACAACAAATAGAAAATACAAAATACTTATTGAAAATAAACATACGAATTGATAATTTTTTAACAATTGATAATGGACTTGCCACGCCGGGCATTGATATTGTAGGTACAAGTGGTTTTGGATGCTAAATAAATAAAATAAAAACTTTTTTTTTTTTTCAAATTTTCAAATTGTTTATATTACAAACCAATTTTAAACCCGAATAAATTAATGTTGTTGCAGTAGTTGTTGACAACGAAGATGAACAATCAATATCGTTCGATAATTGTTGTTGTTGTTGTTGCTGTTGTTGTTGTTCGTTTAAAACATCACTCTGCATTGGTAATAATAATCTTCGGTGTGAACATATGCGGACTGTCATACACAAACTAGAAAATAAAAAAAAAATAGGCAAAAATTATTTCTTTTTTTTATTTTTATTTATTATTATTCTTATTATCTGAATAAGAATTGCCCAAAAACAAACGACAAGAAAAAAGAAAAAGAAATCGAGAGAGAGAGAGAGAGAGAGAGAGAAAGCAGCAACAGCCTACCCCAGGAGTGCAGTGATGTCTTTTGGCTACATATGCGTATAGTGAGAGAGAAAACGCATGAGTCTCTCGCTTTTTTTTTTTTCTTCTTTCCTCTTCCTTTTTCTCCTTCTATACGTTCCTTCCATCTATCAAAAGGTTTAGTTCGATAGTCGTTTTTTTTTTTTTTTTTTCTTTTCTTTAACTTGTGTTGTTTTCTCTTCGTTCGAGCTCGTCAGCGGTGGTAGCTATTCGTCTACATGTATATATATATATATATTTATATTAATGACAATCTCGGGCATCGTGCGTGTGTATGAGGCATGCCTGACCTACGTTGAATTGCATGTTGATTGGATGAGAGGAACGATGTAGGAAGAAAAAGATTTGACAACGCAAAGAAAAGAACACAATAGTGCACTCTATAGAAAATGTATACTTTTTTTTCGATCAGTTTCCAACAGAGAACATTTTGAAGTTTTTTTTTTTTTTTACCTATTAAAAAAATTTTTTTTTCATTTGAATATTAAGGTTTAAGTTATAGTTTTACATTGGAACTAATAACCAGCTGTGACTCGTTTTCAGAGTCTTCTTCTTTTTTTTTTTCTTCTCTTTTTTTTGTGTCGATTCTTCTTTTGTCAAATCATTCTGATGTCGACGAAGAAGAAAAAAAAAAAAAAAAGTAAATGCAACCAATGTGCAGTTTTTTCTCTTTTCTTCTTATCGTCAAACGATTATTCTTGCCTTTGTATTTATTCGCTTGATGTGCTCGGACGCATGTAGACAGACAGCAACAGCCGACATACATTAAAAAAAACGGAGAAGAACATGAAATACATGCATATAGATAGATTCATTCGATAAGTAACTAAAACTTTTCATCATTAGTCTTCTTCTTTTTTTTTTAATGTTGAAATTCAATGATAAAATTTTCATCACTATATGAAGTATCATCTTATAAAAAATAATTTTCTTTTTAAATATTATGTATACTTACTAATGATGTGAATGTTGAAATCAAGGACTAAATTTATTAATTGAAATATATAGAAAATATAAGTGATTTGTATGTGAATATATATGACTAATAAGTGATTGGCTTTCTTTTTTTTCGTCTTTTATACATTAACTAGACGTTTTGTATATGGATACGGCACATGTCCCGAAAAAAATCTATGTAAACAATACAACAAACAAAACTACGAACGAATTATTTGCAATAGAATGCAAAAAAAAAAGTTATGATTGGTTGTTATTAAATGTATTTAAGTAAAGCATTTATGCACTTTGTTTGAATTAGTTTAATGAATATTAAAATAAAGTTGAATTTATTTTTCAAATAAAAATTTTTGTTATATTTATCTGAAAAGAAAATTAATTTATTATAAAATAGAGTACAGAGAATGAATTTTTATTGGCTAATTGCAAGATAGATTTCGTGTATTGAAAACGTATGAGTGAGATTGAAAAACCGATTTATATAATTTAGTGATATTGAAATTACAAGTCAAAGTATGGCTGTTCCATTGGATCAACAATATAAGCTAGAGAAAAAAGGCATAATTGAAGAACGTATTCCTGTTTTGGTAAATTTGAAAAGAAAATAATACATGTTTTGATTATATTTTCTATTACTTATGTAGCATCCATCTGGTATGGATCAACATTATTTTGTAACATACATTCCATTACCAACTAATATTGAAGATGGTGCAACTATTGAACAATGGATTGAACGAATGACATTTATATGTGATGATTTAACATGGTTATTACAACAAAATCATATAAAATTTTGGTGTGAAGTTTGTATCAATCGAAAAAAAAAAATTGTTTTGTTTTTATTAGATTTAGTTATCTATTTTAGGTTGCTTTTAATAAAGATTTTCATTCAATGCTTGATTCTTATCTACGTTATGCACCACGGTAAATATTTCTTTTGAAATTTTTATTTATTTTCAATAAAATTAATATTTTAGACCACAACGAACTATTTCAATAAATAATTATTCGTCTATTATAAATGGTAAAGAATTAGAAGAGAAACTTTCGCGTTTAATATTCATGTGTATTCTTCGACTTTCTACACATAAAGAATCATCAGTATGTTTAAATTTTTTACGTTTATTTGTTTTTTGTTCTTAAATGTTATTTTAAATGAATAATATAGGAAAATTTCTTTACACCACAAGGATTTGGTCATGTTATTTATGATAATTATATATTCGATATTCCTCGTTTATTTGATATATGTTCATTATATGCAGTTAATAATAAAGAATTATTAAGTAAAATGATTGGAAATATTTTTAAACAACAAGAAGCCTATACGAAAGATCTTCACGATGCTATTAAATCAATTAAAGATGTGAGTTACAAATAGTTTTATTTACATATTTAAGGTCAATTAAAAAACTAGAACACTGACAAGGAAATCTTAAAAGATTTTAAACTTAAATTGTGTCTGCAAGTGATGAAAGTCAGAGCATCAGTTACGATTTGGCTGAGATATCAAAAGTTTACAATAATTTTTCGTATAGGACCTCATCTTTGTACTGAAATTAAAGTTTCGAATTTCGATTAAAAACTTTGCTCATACCGAGACTTCATTCATATAAAGTTGCTTACAAAATTTCAGAATTTTTGGTTGAGTTATCTGTAATATACCAGTATGTTAATGTCAAGACACTTTGTTATGAATAATGCATTATGCATGGTTATTCTGAAAAATTCAGTTTCACATTAAAACTCGAAACTTTGATTGTATGACAAAAGTGAGGTCCTGCAGGAAAATTATAGTGAAATATCGTTATTTTAGTCAATATTGTAACTCGTGGATAAAATTTTAGCTAATAAGCTTTTTAGCACCTGGCAAGATTCCCTTGTGAGAAGACGCAAAACAATATATGATATTTACTTGAGGAAATAAAGTAAAGACGAAAAGTTGAGATTTATGTTAAGCGGTAATAGTTTGGACGAATCAGAAAAAAGATTTGAATAATCGAAAGAATTTTCTATTAGCAGAGATCGACAAATTCAATTCTAGTTTGATTATGACGAACTGTTGAAAACTTTTATTAATCTGTCCGAACGATTTGTGTTTTGTTTTTTTGAGAATAAGAAGTTCAAATATTCAAAAAGTCCTTTAGTCTATTATTCGAATACCGTTTCCAAAACGCAACAAATTCTTTTTTGAACAGTCAGAACAGATCATTTCTTTTATTCATTTGATCTAAACTTTGATTCAGAAATTGTTTGCTTTCTATTCAGCAAAAATAAGACCTTCCTTTCAGAAAGTGCTCTCTGAATTCGAATTGAAAAGTTTCAAAATAGACTTATTTTATACAGAAAATGTTGTTGAACAAAATACGATGTTAGTGAAGTCTCTATGACATTTTCACACTAGACTGCACTCAATTTATGAAAGATTCTGAGGTAAAAAATACAGAAAACTTGAAAATACAATGGATCAAAGGTTTCTTGAACTATAGTAAATTCATTGAAACAACATCGTAGAGAGTTTGGGAATATTACATTTTATTTCCAAATGTTTGTTCTGTCGTATGAAATTATTTTCAAAATGCTTTAGATTCAGTTCACGAGTTTAGTTTAGTGAGAAACGCTTAGTTTTGCAGAATATCTTTTCCTTAAAAATTTTCATGACACGTGAACAAAAAAAAAATGTCTCTCCTAATAGAAATTTCTTTCAGCTACTCAATTACTTTGATTCATTTTAATCTAATACTATTCAGAAATTATTTCAAACATACAACGAAGAGTGCTTGAATTTGTACACTTCGATGTACTATTCACATAAAAGAGATAAACCAGGTTTAACTCATACGAAGATTTGAGATCTCAGTATAGTACATCAAATTCATTGTAGCTTTCTGTACTTGCAGCAGAGATAGTGCTCTTTATTGAGATCTTAACAGTATGCTTGCTTGAAGAACCTACATGTGTTGTGTTTTAGAATAAAAAAACGTACAGTCAAATTTTGAAATTTATTTTAGTTAATTGAAGATTCAACGTTACGAGTTTCTTATTTGAGATTTTTAGAATAAGATAACAAAATAATTTTTTAATATAGACGATACTAACGAGGGAACGTTCCCAAGTGATTAAAAGCTTTTGAGCTCATATGTTATCCATTAGGTAGAGGACCACTAGATTAGAGAAACTTCCAAAGGATTCGTACCCATATTGAGATTTGACAGAGATATCTAATTTTTAGTGGATTTTTCCTGCTGGACCATACTACCAACGACAAAACGACTGCGAATCGTATTTTTGATAGATATTTTCATTAATAGTAAACCACGAAAAATATAAGTTTTTCAGAAAATTTTTTCGTCCAGAGGGCTTTGTAGAGCTCGTTTCGCTGATCATTTTGGTAAAAAGAAATTCAAGTTTACCCAATAAATAAGGGAGCTTCGATCGAAATACTAAAAAAAATATCAACTACGACTCAGCAGCGATTACTACCAGTCGAAAGTTTTCAATATTTCGATCGAAGCTCTTTTATTTATTGGGTAAACTTGAATTTTTTTTACCAAAATGATCAGCGAAACGAGCTCTACAAAGCCCTCTGGACGAAAAAATTTTCTGAAAAACTTATATTTTTCGTGGTTTACTATTAATGAAAATATCTATCAAAAATACGATTCGCAGTCGTTTTGTCGTTGGTAGATAGTTCTACAGCAAAATCATATTTTCGAATTTCGACCTGAAACTTTGCCCAAATGAAGGCCTCGATCAGAGTAGCTTGGATAAAAAATTTCAGAATTTTTGGACATTGCATCTCCAAGGTATCAATCTTTCAAAGTATCCATGTTATATATAGAAAAGTGCCTATATTTTCAAAAATTGATACCTTGGAAATACAATGTCCAAAAATTCTGAAATTTTCTATATAAGCTGCTCTAATCGAAGCCTTCATTTGGGCAAAGTTTCAGGTCGAAATTCGAAAATATGATTTTGCTGTAGAACTAGGATCCAGCAGGAAAAATCCACCAAAAATTCGATATCTCTGTCAAATCTCAATATGGGCACGAATCCTTTGGAGGTTTCTCTAATCTAGTGGTTCCCTACCTAATGGGCAACATATGAGCTCAAAAGTTTTTAATCACTTGGGAACGTTCCCTCGTAAGTACTCTTAGAGTGAAATAATTAATTGACGTTCTGTAAGACTTGTATTAGTCTCACTGACGACGGAACTATCTGAGGTGATACCTCACATTTGAGATAAGACTCCAGTCATTAGATAGAGGTCGTTGAGACAAGAAAAGGCCTAGAAGGATTCGTTCCTATGCGCAGCCCCAGTGAAGTTATGACTGTTATGCTGGGCCTTTAAGCTTCGGTACGATATTCATTAAAAACCTCAGACCAACGAATTTTGACTCGATAATTTTGCACATAGACAGCTTCTAAGATCACTGAAGTCTCCTGAAAATTTCAGCCAATAAAATAAAGGTTTTTTTTTCTCGAGATATCAAATGCACAAAAAGAAGTAAATCTTTCATCATTCTGGTGGAATAATATGGTCATTTGTAGATTTGATATTTCGAGAAAAGATCGCTATTTTATTGGGTGAAATTTTTAGGAGACTTCGATGACATAAAAAGAGCTGTCTATATGCAGAGGGAAAAATCATTTGTTCAGTGTTTCAATAAATACTGTGTCAAAGATAACAAATCCAGTATAATAGCCATAACGTCAAAGAGCAACATATGAGGAAGAATCTATTGAGATTTTCTCTTCTCTCAACAGGCTCTAAATAATGACTGAAGTCTTATCTCAAATGTGAGGTATCACTTCGGGTGATTCCCTCATGAGAAATCCGAATAGTTAAAGCGTATAGTCAAATATTCAAAGGACTCTTGCTTTGAAAATTTCAAATTTTTGAGAAAAAAAAAAGAAATTTAATTCTAAGCATAGAATTTATTTTATAATATAATCATCATTGATAAATTGATTAAATAATTTAGGTTATCACAAAAAGAATAACAATATTTCATACTCAAACTGGTCCGAAGAAACTTAATATAACAACAAAAACATCTGGCATAGGAGAAATTATTGATTTACTTTATTATATTCTTGATTTAAGTTGTACAATAAATCGATTCTTTTCTGTTTATCCACAAGGACGAATTATATTTTTTCATGAAGATTTTCATTCAACGCAAGTATGCCCATTATATATTGAAATTAAACTAAGAAAAATTTTTTTTTTTTTACTTTTTTTAGATTAATTCATTTATTTGAAACATTTTTACGTGTCTATGAACGCGCTCAAAAATCAAATGAAATATCTGATTATATGTAAGATTAAAGAAAATAATTATATTTGAAGATTTAATCAAGTTTTACATTTTTTTTTTTCTAGTGATATATTTGAAGAAACAAAATATGAAACTATAACATTATTTAATGATCTTGTTGCATCATGTTGTATTGATCCATTACTTATTAATGAGTAAGATTATTTTAACTGAAACGAAAAAAAACAAAAAAAATCATCTATTTATTTTATAGAAATAAATCAGAAAATGTTGAATCAATTATTAATATATTTTCATTATTAATAACAGAAAAACGATTTTTAGCTTCATATGAAGATTATTTTAGTCTTTGTCAAATTATTGATATTGTTCATGAAACAACAGAACTTTTGTAAGAAAAATAACATATAATATAAATGTTCATAAAAAATGTTATTCATTACATTTAGAGATGATCAACAAATAACATTTTATAAAGATGGTGTCAAACAAGCTATTGAACTTTATGGAACACCATCATGTAAACAAAAATTAATACCAGTAAATATATCTGTAAGTAATTTTAAAGAAATTATTTTCATTTTGTAGTTTAGAAGAAGAAAAAAAAAAGTTGTTAATTGCTTCTTATTTTAAGATATGCAACATTCAAAATTTGATTCGATTTTAACAATAATCCTAAAACTTGGACATTAATTATTCTAAGAAAGAAACAGTATTTTTTCAGATATGTTCAAGATGATGAGACTTACAGACACGATTTCAATGTTCGATTTTTCTGTCAATGTTCTATTTAATAGTAAAATTGCTATTATTCTATTAAGAAGACCTACCGAATTGAATCGTTTTGCATCTATTCGTTATCTCTAAATGCCTAGAATATGAGTTAAATGAGGGCTCTTTTTTTTTTGAAACGATTTTCTTGTAACATAATTTTAAAAACGTTCCTCAAAAACGAATACTTCTAAGAATTTCTAGTCTCTGAAACTCTTTATTAAAAATATCTGATGAAATAAAATAATACTCCATAGTTAGAAGTCCTGCTAGTCTGTTATCATAAAAGATACATGATATGAACATTATCTTATTCAGTTCTTGTTCATGATAATTTTTATTATTAGAAGAAAAATAAAAATATATAAAATTAATTACAAAAATCTATCACTTAATTATATTCTAAATAGATTGTCTGAGAAATGTGTAGGACAAGTTAGTATAAAAATACTCGATAAAATGCATCTCACATCTTTGGGACAACTTGAAGACTCAACCATGAGTCACTTTTAATATGAAATTTTTTTCAAAATGAATGCGTTATGCATTAAAGAGAAATTCATTTTTAATGTAATTTTGTTAATGAAATCTTGGAAATTCAACGTTGGTATCAGAGTAAAAACTGAGTTTTTACTGGAACATTCTCTTTAAGTTTGAATTTTCTTTTGTTTTTATTTAAGAAAGTATTCGAAAACTACAATTGAATTCTCTGTGAGTATTTTAAAATCCTTTCGGAATGCAACAGACATATATATATATATATAAAGTTATAATCTTTTCTCAAGTAGCATGATGTATATAAACATTTCCTATGAAAAATAATGACATATACTTCACAAAGTATTTTCTTTGATCCCTAATGAAATAGATAGAGGCACGTATAAGTTTCTTGATAAATTTTGACTGTAGAAAGGTATATATGTAGGTTTCTAGGGAAAGTCTTCCGCTATTTAATAATCTAGACATTGTCAACTTCTACTACACACTGTTCACAACAGAGATGGACAAAATCGCACCGCGCCTCCCCGCGCCGCTGCTCGCGCCTAGGCGCTACGCACATCTATCTTTCTCTTTGCTCTACCAATCAGTTTCTCAAACTCCACCGAATACCGGGATGCTCTAAGCATGCGCTCATCGAAGCTCAGACTAGTGTAGCGTAGGCGTGAGCAACGGCGCGGGGAGGCACGGTGCGACTTTGTCCATCTCTGGTTCACAAGTCAATAGATGACGTCACCATCGCCACATACTGCCATGATCAAGACGAAGATGGTGATACTTTGATCTGTATTTTCATCGTAATTTTGTTGTATACAATTGTTTATAGTTCAGCACGGCTCTTAAACATACTATATTTTCTCGTTTCTCTGATGGCAGTAATACAGCACTGTATTTTTATCGAATACGATTGTACATGAGCCATGATCTCATTATGATACAACACAATGGCCAGAATACGATCCGTTTACAAGTCGTAAACTAACCGGAAAGAGCCACATACAGATCGTATCATTCAATTCTGCTAAGCAGAGATTATCAAAGTCATTTACGTTTAATATTTTTTTAATGATTGTATAAACAATTTCTTATAAAGTATTTTTCTATTTTTAGTCATCGCAAGCTTCTGCTTCTAGCAGTACTTCAGTAAAAAAATCAACAAATACTAATATTCAAATGATTCAAGATCTGTTTCCTCATTTAGATGAAAAATATATTCAAGTAAGTTGATTAAAATTTTAGAAAAAAAAAACACAGAATGAAACTAAAAGATTATTTCAAAAGTTTTAAACTCATTTTGTCCTTAAAATCAAGTGTTTTAAGTGTTTCGTCAAATGTTTCAAGTGCCACAGTTGAATTAGGTTGTTCTTCAATAAATTCTCCAAGAACTCTTTCTGCTATAATCGATGCTTCGTCATCACTTATTTTACCAACCTATTAATAACGAAATGTACATATGAATTTTAACTGTTTTTCTTTTTTCTAAATTTACCATCGTTTTAAGTGTTTCTTGTATGTCTCCTTTTGATAAACGTCCATCACGATCAATATCATACATCTAAATTAATAATATTATATGATGAAAAAAAAAGAAAATTAATTCAATCATACACGAAACATAAATTTAATTTTGCGTGTTCTTGGTGTATCATCTGGAGAATATTTTACATTTTCAAGATCAGTTCCTGTTGATGATGATCCTATTCGAGGCGTATTACTTGATGTTAATGTTTGAATTGATGAACGACGTTTTCCATGATAATGTTGGTGATGACGACGATGATGATGTTCATGTCCACCTCGTTCACATTGACTAAATGTACTCATAAAATTAACAAATTGTGTAAATGTTAATCTATCATTGGAACCAAAATCATCCAAAATAACTCTTATTAATCGAGTTGCTATTGGATTTTCATCAAATTTTGGTACACGACCAAGATCAGTATCATCTAAATAACCTTTATATCCTTTTGTTTCACCTCGATCATCACAGTCAAGTTCATTAAAACGAGTCCATAATGAAGATATTTGTTTTTTTGAAAGACCTAAATTAATTATAATTTATACTTATGAGATTTAACAAAAAAATAAATTCATTTACCTGTATTACTTATAATTTCATCAACATTAATTGAATCTGGTATTGATGGCTTAGAACCCATTTCTTTCTGTTTTTTTTTTTTCGTGTGTCTAAGATTAGATTCTTTTTATTAAATGGCGAACGTTTTCTAAATGGCAAGCATACATTTAAAAAAAAACGAGAGAAAGAATACAAAAAGGATTGTTTTTTTTTTCGAATACATATAAATGCGTAAAGTAGTGCATTTAATCATTATTATCATTGCTACCTACTCAACTATGGTGCAAACGTGCGCATGTTTGTCAAGAAGAAAAAACACCGAGAGACATATAAATCTTTTTTTTTTTTGTGTACGGAATATAAATGAAGCAAAAAGAGCAGAAAAAAATAGAAGTGAGAAAAAGTTCAGATATTTTTTGTATAGTTGTAAAGAAGGATATTATATCTTTTAATAATGTTATATGATGGTTTTCGAGTTATAATTGTAAAAAAAAGAAAGATGAAGAAATTGCTGTTTTGTATCATGAAATAAGCAGAACCAGAAAAATAAAATAAGATCACGTTCATGAAATAGACATGATTCTCTTGAGTATTGTTTTGCTTGTGTTCTTCTAGTTTTTTTCCTATTAGAATGAATATGAATAGTTAGGTGCCAAATATATGAAAAAAAAAACGACCTAGAAGTTATGAAGCGTTATAAACACAAATCTAAAAGCTATGATAAATTATAATGAGTAACCCATGACAATTGGTAGATGGCTTGATGTTTTTGTTATTGGTTCTCTTTTCTGTTCTACATTGTCCAAATCGAATGTCTACATATAGACAAAGAAAACCACATATCGTGCTAATATAAACAACAAATGAGAAGATATTGTGATAAATTCTAAATGCATTTAACAGTTGTCTATCAACAAAAATCAGGAAAATAATCCGATAAATCTTATTAATAACGCATTAGTTCATCATAGATGTATAGAAATAAAAAATAACAATTGTAACATTTTATTTTCTCTAGACTTGTCTTAATCATTATAACAACAATACTGAACATCTTGTTAATGCTCTCTTTGACAATACTGTACCTGAACATCTAAAATTTGAAGCATCAAGTACAACATCAGTACTAGTATCTTCATCGAATATTACAAATGCAAATGAAAAACCATTCTCTAGCAAAGATTTTTCTTTACTTGAACAACGTTCAAATATATATGATAATGATGAATTTGATTTATTTAATCGAGATGATATTGATCTAACAAGAATACATCGAGGAAAAAAGTTGGTGAAAATATTTTCTATAATAATATTCATGGGATTTTTTTTGAATATATATATATATTGATTCTTTCAGAACACGAGATGCACCAGCAGATCTTGATGACAAATCTCATGTAAAAGAAATGAGTGAACGTTATGCTCGTCTAGGTCTTGTCGAGGATGAAACAGATGCTGAATATGATGATGAATATGATGATACTTATGATGATGGAATTGTTGATGTTAGAGATAAAGATGATACAATTGATAATGAATTACAAAAGAATGAAAATAGGTTTGACATTCATGAAATTCTTTTTCTTTTTTTCGACATAATGATTTCATTTTCTCATTAGATTATTGGGAAAACAACCTCAACATTATCGTCAACAAATGGATAATGACGAAGAAGACAATGATGAAAGTCAAGTAATGTTTTTTATTCATATATATATGTCTATTTAATATAATAAGTAAATTATTTAAAGGCTAAACGTCGTGATCAATTTGTTGAAAATCCTGAAATAGTTCGTGAACGAAGAGCACAACAACGAGCAGCTTGGCAACAACGTCATCAACCACATCGATCACATACAGAAGAAACACATGATGTTGTTGGTAATGCTCGTGGTCGTGGTCAATCAGGCACAGTTACACATAATCGACGTTGGAAAGATGCACATAAATCGTCTCAAGCCAATCATAATCGTCGAAATCGAGCTACTCAAAAAGCTAATCGAGGATTACTTTCTTAAAAAAATAAAATTCTTTATTTTCTTTTTAATTTTAAATAAACATCATTTGTTTTTCAATTGATAAAAGATTGATCTTTTTTTCTGTCTATGTTATAGATGACAAGTGAAAAACAAGAAAAAATTGACGAGCAACTTCGTCCATTGTATGCCGAATTACAAAAATATGGACAAACACAAGATTGGGATCGAGCATTGAAAACTACACGAAAAAGTATATTTAATGAATAATTTCTATTGAAAACAATTTTTTGTTTTTTAACTTTAAATAATTAGTATTGGGTATTTCAAGTAATGAAAAAAAAGCAACACATTGTAAGATAGTCTGC